TTAGCTGTAACATTTAGGTATTCTCTTCAGATTGATGTCTCCATGCGCATGTACAACCGGACCGCGAAAATGTAACAATGCGAAAAAAGAGAAAATGCAACAATGCGAAAAGATAAATATGCGAAATTGTTACAATGCGAAAAAGCGAAAATGCAACAATACGAAAATATAACAATGTAAAAAAGCGAAAATGCGAAGAGACTACAAAGTTATACTTTGTCATCTCTTTGTGTTTTCGCATTTTTGTATTTTGAACGTGAAAAGGCGAAAATACAACAGATGCAATGCGAATATACGACAGATTTTATCTGTCATATTTTCGCCCTCCTGTCGTATTTTCGCTTTTTTGCCTCGAAAGTTCGAAAAAGTGAAAACAAAGACCCTCGTGATTTCGCATTTTCGCATTTTGAAGCGAAGACGCAAAAATACGACATGGCGTAAATTAGCCATCATACATGTATGGGGGAATTACTTAAAATGGCCAAATGATTATAAAAATGTTTCTGTACACTAACTAGTATTATAGCACATTTATAAGGGGATCACATAAGCTGACAAGGGATCATCTAAATCTTCAAATACTCAAAAATTAAACATTTATACGAGAATGAGGTAGGACGACTAGGGGGTTTTCTAGATGTACATGCTCTATTCAGTTTATTATCATGTATGAGGGGTTCATGGAAGACTTCGAGAGGATTGCAAGGTTGTTCATATACTTTTTGTTCACATTGAACTCATGTAAGGGATCACGTAAGATGACCAGAGGGTCTACTCTTTTTTATCCTAGAATATGTACGAGTATGAATGGTTCATGCAAGATCATATAGCTGTAAAATAATTAATCAAGGAGAATATTTTGTAAGAGTGTATATCCAAACCCCACTAACTTATTCCCTCATCTAACCTAATCCCCTATATCTGTTCTATAAGAACTAGAGTGTTTATAACTCTGAAAGACCTCCTGGTCATCTAAGCTGACCCCCTCATATCTGTTCCATAACAACTAATGTATATGTACATCTAAATGATCTACTACTAATCTTACATTATCCTCTCATACATCTTTTATAAATATATAGAGTTTTTGTTCATGAAGTTCACCTCTTGGTCCTCGTATGTGATTCCACAAATATCTTTCATATGAACAAGAGAATATGGACATTGAGATCATACTTTAGTTATCTTACGTGATATACTCACATAGGTTCTTATGGGGTATATGAATGAAAAACCATTATCATACGATTATATGTCCTGCAGACTTTAAAATCTATTTCCATTTTTAGACATACGTATATATTTATAAGGAGGATTAAGCATATGCAGTATTTATCAGTGACACTGATCATTTCCACAGTTTGATCAGGATGATAACGCTTTGTCAGAAATTCGTGCTTAATGTTTTAACGGGGCTTACTATGCTAAGTGTACTCTCACGCGATATCCTTTTCAGTGCTTTTCTAGCACGCAGCCGTTTTGATTTGAACCACTTAATGAAATTCCGTGTTAGAAAATTGTGAAAACTGTCAAACTTATCTTATTTTACAAAATGAAAAATAATCTCACTCCAGACTATCTCTCTGATCTTGTCCCTTCCTCTGTTGGCTCCGAACATCGATATCCCTTAAGGAATGCCCAAGACATACAGACCATTCGATCACGCACAGATTTTTACTATAAATCCTTTCTACCATCTGTAATAAGAGACTTCAACGCCCTTCCAGTTCAAACCCAGAATGCTCCTACGCTTGCCGCTTTTAAGCGCAGTCTTAAAAGTGAAGTATCAAATATACCGAACTTCTTCTACTATGGTGAGCGGAGATACCAAATAATGCATACCAGACTTCGAACCAATTGTAGCTCTCTTGCATCTGATTTATTTGATAAGAATATTGCCGAGTCTCCATTGTGTGATTGTGGGGTGGTTGAAAATTCTTATCATTTCTTCTTTATTTGTCCAAAATATGTACATCTACGTCCCAATCTACTAAACACTCTTTCCAACTTTTGCACTCCAACTTTGCATGTTATTCTTTATGGAGACCCTGCTTTACCTGCGGACTCCAACACTGCTATCTTTGCCGCTGTTCATAAATTTATAAGAGATACTAAAAGATTCTAATATGTAATATACTAGTTGTCATACAACATAGTGTTCACACAAGTTTTTTTTCCATAAATGATGTTCGTACCAAAACGACAAATGATATAGAAACATCCGCAAACTCCTCTTTTCTCCATCTTTCTCTTTATTATTTTCTTTCAATTGCATACATGTATTTGTAATTATTTATTCTTTCTTCGTTTTTTTTTCTTTATAGGGTTTAATTAAAATTATGATAAGCCATGTATTATGTAAACATATTGCTTTTGTTGAAGGAGAGGACTACTATGAGCTATTGTAGCTCTCGGTCCAATTCCTTTCTGCTAAGATTGTAAATTATTAACATGTATATATTATCTGAATAAAAATATGTTTAAACCAAAATTGTGATTCTATCCCATGATTCAAATTATTGAATACATATTTTTAAAAATTTAATGAATATGTTTAATTATAGAATATTTGTTTTCAAATATAAAATATATGTATAGAAAAATATCACAATATCAATAGAATTGAATAAATGTTATGGTATAGAATATAAAATTAGAATTATACAATATAGATATTGTACCAAAAAAAAATGTACTGAATTTTGCAACGTTTAACATGCCATACATGGCGTAAATCATAATGACCTTATAATGTGCTCAAATTATTATAAACATTATTATCAATATCCATGCAAAGTGCCAGGGGTAATGACTTAAACTTATTTCCTAAAGATCTCTGAAAAGCAAGCAAACAGGTCATGAACTTATGACTTACTCCCAGCTTTTGAATCGTTTTTATGAAAAATAAAATGCATAACATGTACACATGTACGAAAGACATTCCAATATGAGTTGTTTCCCTCGCATTATTTAACTATTATTTGAAGAAATGCCATTGCTTGAGCATGGCTTACTTTTACCAAATTTTCTATATGAATAACCTTAAAAAAAGGTTCACTAGACATTGTTTTATGCCTATATCTAAGCTCTTGCCCTTGTTGTTCTGAAGAAAATGATTTAAATTGTTTTTACTATATACATAAAAGGAAAACACATTACACCCGGAGCGGGGTCAAATTTAACGCCAGGGCTTTACTTTGAACAATCTGGGTAGGGATCCACATGACAATGCCTTATACAAAATATCTAGGCTTTAGGCCTTGTAAGTCTTTAGAAGAAGCTTTTAAAAATATTCTTATAATTTTGCATGTAATCATTTTTTGGAACAACTATGGAAGCCCTTAACCTAAGAAACAACCTCGCAAGTTTAGTTGAATTTGGACCAGTGTTCACACACAGGTGAACCGTTATAATTATGGCACCTCATCGCAGATTCTGCGTTGGCATAAATAAATGTTATCATGAATTCAGTGAGCGTTACCACCAATTATGGCCATTATGATCTTAGCTGGAGATATTTTGATATAACTGTCTTTGACAATAATATACAGAATTTCCAAACTGAACTAGATACAAAAGATAAAACTTAAAGCAATCCGTTCGTACACATGCTTACGCAAACAATCCATGCACGGGGTTCATTTTATACAGCCACAAATATTTGGCCACTTGGCTACCGTTTTTAAAAAAGCCTATGCCAAAAGTTTGAAAAAAAGAAAAAGATTTTCGCTAAACAATGAGAGAGTGATATTTCATTTCATATGTACGACAGTCGTTTACAAAGGTATAAAACAGGTCCTAAAAAGTCAAATATAGCCGTAGATTTGACACTGAAAGATAAATGTCAGGATGGCGAACTTGGTGAAATAGCCGAGATTGCACAAAATAAAGCATGCTGTCAGGAGTTCGAATTTCACAAGATGTTTTTTTGATTATACATTAATGTGAATTGCTGAACATACGTAGATATGTTAAATTAGCTAACTATTAAATTATACATGTATAGACATATGTAGCGGTAAACTACTAGGTAATGTTTATACAGTGCATAAATATTTCGTTCCAACTTATCTAAAGAAAAGAAAAACAGAAATGGAAAATTTTACCGGTAAACTTGTGAAGTTTGCAAAAAGGTATAATTCAGACTGTTGCATATCAGCCTGAATAACACATATAACATTCTTGTCAATATCAAGAATTATTTTCTATATTTCTTACAACATCACTTCCATGTTTGACTACTGATAACATAATGATTACAGAAATAGTTGACTCGTCAAACCGCGTCACTCTATATTTATCAGAGCTGAGCTGTGTTTTACTCATTACACTGTATAAAGAAAACAGTAAGTACATTAAAAATGCAATAATTAATTTGAAGAATATGATTATTTCTTTATAGTACAGCTCATAAAAAAGTTTCACATGAGACATAAATCAAAACGGTATTCATGAAAGCCACTTTTCGTCATTTAGGTAGAGCTTTTACCATGCAGTGCAAATACTTTGGTAGGTGGAGTTTCACAGCTTATTCTAATGACATTTTAGTGATTTCTTTAACTTATAACCGCCCAAACGAAAGGCAAATGATTTTTCGTTCTGTTATAGAATCGGACCACTGTACTAAATAATGATTATTCTCATTTACAAGATTGCTCGATAAATATACTGGTAAATACCTACATATATTTCCTACCATCGGTCATCAGAAAAAAATCCTCTTTGTATGTCTATGATTTAGGAGTTAGGATAATATAAATAAAATCAAGGACTATACTGTTAGGATAAAAAGAAATAAACACATATTTCATATACCACTTATATTTTTATCATAAAACAAACGTGTTTTAAACCGTCATTTGATGATGACGCACTGTCATTTATTACGTTTAAAACGACGGCCTTCACTATAATCTCTTTGTATGAAATAGGTATAATTTCGGAGTTAGGATAATAAAATTTAGGGCTTTACTGTTGGGATAAACAGAAAATAACACATATTCCATATACCATTAACAATTTTATCAGAACACAAACGTGTTTTTACAACCGTCATTAATAGCTAGTATTGGCACTACGAAGAAAATTAACAGCATTACCATTTTATTGCAAACCGACCAATAATGAGCATAGCAATGAACAGAATTTCAAACATACCAAGTATTTTTGATCTAATAGTCATTCATGAAAATGTTTACTTATATCAGAACTTGACTTGTCACACACAAATGTATTCCGCCTTTTATAATAGGCTGACACTGAGAAATGTTAGAGTGTTCCTCCAACTTATGAAAATAGGCAGTGGATGAAGCAGAAATGTATTCTTCAAAGACTTATTGGAAAACCCCGAAGCGAGAACGACGATTGCATGTGATGGTATCATACCTGTAGCAAGGATTTAATAATGGGGTCTACTTGATACCTTAAAATGAAATTTAAAAGGTTCACAAACGACGACATGGAAGTTTGGTTTTGACCTCACGTAGCGGCTTGCTGCTTCAACGCCTTCTTGTGCTAATCTCTCATTGTCTCCGATATTAAACATGCAACTCTGCATGTGAACCGAAATAACACTATCCGTATTTAACGGAATACTATCAACAAATTTTACAAAAGAATTTAAAGTCATGGTTGAATTCAGTAAACATATCAGTTCTATTTCCTTTTGGAATTCTGCATCAAATTCTACATGTCTGTCTCCAAAATCACAGTTATATAATGATAATCTTCTCAGATGTTTGATTGATGGAAGAACCGATAAAAGAGTCTTGAACGTATCCACAGATGAAATTCCTATAAGTGTTAATTCAAACAGGTGAGGTGCACATTTGATATCGAGCAGTAATGTAGATGTTTTATGAGTAGCTGTACTACTGTCCTCAAATATCAAAGTGTCAAGACTTGTGCAATTTACTCTTGTTTCGTGCTGTCCATACTCGAACAAATGGTGTAGACGTAAAAAGTTGAGTTGATTGTGACTCGACAAGTTGAGACTGCTTCCCATACATTCTTCTTTGTGCTCGTAACATCGTATTTGAAAGAGCAATAGTTGGATCAAATCTGACTTGTCCGATATGAATTCAAATAGATCCATAAGTTCTTGGTGTTTAAGTGAAATATCGTACAGGTCTAAAGAGGTTAAGTTAGGGAACTGCAACTCGACCAAATTAAACATGCCACGAGCATTTGAAATAGATAAGCATGCTAAAGTTTCTATCGAAGAGTTCAAACAACCCAAATATTTTTCCATGTCATTGTCAAAGTTATTATGGAAATTTATTGATATCTTTTCAACATTCCTTATTTCGAGCAGGTCGTCATGATATTTTTCAGTCGCTATAGACTTCAGGATACCTTTGTTTGATTCAAAAAGTGACCGAAGATTATCAGAATATGTTTCTGGTAAGAAAAAATCTTCAAGAGGCAACTGTACACCTCTACCTACGGTCTGCTGACTTTCCTCTTGACATTGTAAAGCAAGTGTTTGATAAGATTGCAATAACCTTTCGGCATCCCGAACGTCACTAAATTTCGGATTTGTTATAATGCTAAACGGTGGTAGCATAACAACAAATCCAAACTTGTAATCTGCAAAAGACCTGTACGTACGGATTTGTTTATCTGAAAGTAGCATAAGTTTTATCTTTGCCTCTAACTTTAAAACAAGCTCTGGGCACATACCTGACAGAAAGATGAACATATTTTCATACGTAAGAAACATCCTTAAAGTTTTACAAGTGGTAAATATTTTGTTTTCTACGCAAGCTACATCTTCCTGCATGGCAATGTAGAGTGCTGCAAAGAACTCATGGTAGCTTTTATGAAGAAAACTGAGCCTCTGTTGTCGTTGATAGAGCGTACCAACTACTTTATTCTTTGATAAGATACCTACAGACAGCAAATAACGCATCTCACCGACTGATATATCGTAAATGTTACCGCTGGAACTTTCAAAGGTTAATGCTGATTCTCCGTCTGGAATCCCAAAAAGACTATGAAACGCTAAGTTGCCTATCTTGTAAAGAAGTGACTTGTGTATTAAGATATTTTGTAACGAGATGAAGCACTCTGGAAGATTTCGATTGAAATCGTCTTGAGTTTGCGTCTGATTTAGACATGCACCGTCTGCGCATTGACCACCTTTGTTTTTGGAAGCCCTTTTGAAAAGCATATCGACCGTCCCGCCGTATATCAAACATTTTGATTTGCCGAGTGTCAATTCATCGAACCAAACACAAATTAACTGCATCAATATGATTGGAACTTCACAGATTGTATCTAATTTGTTTAATGCAACTTCTTCCTTAAAATCTTCTGGTTTCCTCGGCTCATCATAATTCTTGTTTAAACGGTTAATAACCGTAACGGTTAGCTTGGCACGGGCTTGTTTATCCAATCCTGTCAATACGATCTGTTGGTCAATTTCTTTTGTCTTTAACCGATTTACTTCTAGCTTCCATGGCCTAGTTGTAGTGATGAAAATGCAGTTCCTGGACGGCAGACGATGAGGCAGCTTTTGATTATTTGGACATGTATCCTGTATTGTTGGGTGAGTCCATTCATCAAGCCCATCAAGAATAATTAAGCAGACTTGGTTTTCTAAGATTTGTCCAATATGATGAGTATCTGCTAATACTTGCAATTGTTGTTCAATCATCTCTTTCACGTGACATAATCTTGTTTCTCTAAGGGAAACGTAAAACAAGAAACTAAATTGTTTTAAAGCATCAATATCTTCTTTCAAAAAGTTGTGATTTTCTGTCTTGCCAGATTTAGCATGGCACCATGTCAAAACCATTCGTTGACAGAATGCTGTTTTGCCTATTCCAGCCTCTCCCGTGATATAAATATTTCTACAAGGTTGTCCACCTTTTGAAAAGATATCTTTATATGATTTAATGATCGCACTTTTACTTTTGACATTATGATGATCTACTTGCTTCAAAGTAGGTTGAACAAAAAACTCTAGCAGTTGAGCATCTTCTTCTTCTAACAAAGCAGAAATTGGTAATGTCGAAAACTGATCTTGATATACTTCAATAAGCCGTTTGGCAAAATCTGCATCTGTAAGTAAAAACAAAAGCAATTGTTGCACTTACATGGCTACTTTTATTATTCGGATAATTAGTACTTAATACTGCTCCATTTGACCTATATTTTATACAAATTGAATGAATAATTTAGAGAAAAAATAAAATTATTAACAAAAATGATTTCTTTTTCATTTTAAAGAGAAAGAATTTATGCAAGCACCGTGTAGCGATTTATGTGCTAAATAACATAATGACATTTCATGTATCCTCAGGTTTTAAGGGTAAAATTTAATATCAGTACCTTGTAACGATGCCAAATGGCACAATGGCATCTTTAGTTGCTCGATTGCCCTTTTTACATCGTCAAGTTTGTTATACAAGTGCTCCAAAGCCCGACAAACTGAAGTGTTGTTTGCATATAATCCAAGTTCTGCATTGAACAACGATCTTAAATCTTTAACGATGAAAGTTATTGTCCATGACTCTTCTTTCAACTGAAATTATATATGGCATCTATTTCATAAATCTTTAAAACTTTGGTGAAAATATAAAGACTTTTATACAGCTGTGAAAAAGGCGCTTGTTCAAAATAATTGTGAGTGAAATTAGTACTGCATGCGTGGTAAAAATTTTCGCGGCATAGAGTATTTGCGATTTTTGCGAATTTATAAAACTCAAGAATATACCAGAAAAAAAATCACTATCCAAAGTCCTTCTGTATTATTCCGTATCAAGACGAATATTAAAGACAAATGTAAAATATCTAACCTGATGATAATTCTTTAATACAAACGAATCATTGATATACCCGACTGACAATACCCGGTTACAAGCAGGAATTCCAAGATCAGTAAGCAAATAGCAGCGAGCAAAGATTGCAAATTTACATGTCCCTATAATGCTCTAAATTAATCCTGTCTATGATTATCACGCCAACCTCTTTATTATTTTTCACGTCGTCGCTATTGACGTCACGTGACGCTGACATAATTTCCTGTTATTTGTTTATTATCTATGTATGTACCCTGAAGAAGGCTGTTCAGTCAAAACGTTGGTATATTAAAGGGAATTATAGAATTAGTTGTTGACTACTTATTTTTTACTATTTACAATATTTTGAGGGAATAACTGTAGATAATATTTAAAAAGTAATTCGTGATTATAGACACAATATGTCTTGAAACTTGTGATTTTGCGAATTTTGACGCACAAAATATCAACTTTGATACAGTAGATGTACTATAGTTCATAACAAATGTTGAATAAAACTGCCATGCCATTTGTTCATATCGACATTTAATAAAAATGTGTACCTTTGCTATGTTTTGCAATGCTGCTTTTGTTGATGCCTTTGATGATAAATACTTTGGGTCTGTAAGTATCGTTTCTAGAATACGTGAATATTCTGTAAATTCATCGTCACTTACTTCACACGTCGCTGAATGCCGAAACTCTCTTGACATACGTCTTGCCTGTAATATTGCAATAACTTAATATATATATGTATATTATTTTTTAATAAAAAGACCTTTTTACAATACGATTTTTCCATAGTAACGAATGTTGTATTTATCGCATGTGCATTCTGCGTAGGGCAAAAACGATGACTACAGTTTCTGATACTTTAAGGCTTTAATAGACGCCATTTCATGTTATGTTCACCAGAAAACATTGATTTTGGGTTGAACTAAAGCGGTAAGTCCTGAAAACGTGACTTGATATTTATAACGGATGTACGAAAATATGCTGGACTAATAATTCAATGGCAAAAATGGGCATACACATGCCGTCTGTTTAATGTATCATTAGACGACTTTTTCCTCAGTTATTTAAATTGAAACAGCGATGTGTTACATATAAAATTTTATGACCACTGTATTACATTATATAACACAATTTGTATTGCACACTTCCTTTGAATAATTGGATTGGCCAGGCGGTAAGTGTCAAACAGATTAACATGCGACCGGTTGTTCATTTAACCGGGACGTTTAAGAACCATGACATAGTTTATCACGTACAATTTATTAAAATCGTAATTTAAGTACTTTTACATATATATATACAACTTCAACTTTATGTATTCACGATTTCAATTTCATAAATTCACGATTTCAACTTCATGAATTCACGATTTTAGCTTCATGAATTCACGATTTCAACTTCATGAAGTTGAAACGGTGAATTCGTGAAGTTGAAATCGTTAATTCGTGAAGTTGAAATCTTGAATTCGAGAAGTTTTTTTTATTTATTTCATTGAATATGAATAAAGTAGAAATCGACAAAATTTGAAAGGTTGCAGTCTTTTTTATTAAGTTATAATCAATTAGGAAAATGAATTAATGCGAAAGTGAATGTGGCGTAAGAGATATTGATTTTGTCATAATATAAGAACAGACTCGAACTTTGTATATAATGACACGTAGTGAATTATTTATTGAGTGACACAAATGTACATATTTTTAACAGATCTTTAATTTTGAAAATCCTTGTTATGATAGACGGGCTGGCTTTCAGGCGGCAGTCAAACAGGTTGATGATTCCGGGCGATAATTCGTGTGAGATATCACCGTACATGTCCAGCAACGCAGAAATATGCAAATAATTAACGCAAGAATTGTGCAAAAGGTACGTGGAATCTGTGCATTGCTATGTTTTTCGGTTGATAACTAGATCCACTGATGTACATTCAATCTGATTATTACCATTTGTTATAAGATTTATAATTATCTTTTTTTTTTTTGCAAAACTAAATTGTTGTCAAGAGTGATTTCTAGCGACTTATATCTACATAGAAAGACGACTCTCGGCTGAGACATTCTTCTATGCTATTTTCTATGACTGAGGGATAAAATCAAATTTAAAAAAAATGTTCATCTAGAATTATTCTTTAAAATCCCTTGCAATGAAGCTAGAATAAAAATAACGTAAAAATGTTTTCATCTTAATTTTAAACTTGTCCAACTTATACATATAAAGTTAAAATGAATATTTAAATTGTGTGAGGGAGGGACGCCATAATTATCGGATAATATAAGTTTGTATTTAAGATTACAATTATATTATTGATTTTAAAGAAGTGCCGATCTTGACCGGGATTCATATTTATGCTCTTACATTGCCATGTCCTTTACAAACATATTCTTAGTCACGTCCTAAACATCTATGTTCTTACTTGTTATACATGACCAGATTACTTACAAACATGTACTTGATACCGGCTTCTTACTTGTAACATTCTTTATACTCATATTCTTACATGATTATGTCCCTTACAAATATGTACTTGATCAGATCATATACATTTATGTCCCTACTTGAAATATCCTATACTTCCTTGTTTAAATTTGGTCACCTTCCCTATAAACATGTACGTGTACCTAGTCATGTCCTGTATATACAAATTCTCACATCATACAATAAATTACATCCTATATATCCATGTTTTTACTTAAACATATCCAGAACATGACTAAGGCATACTATATTCAATCATGAATGTCCCATATATAGATGAAAATATTATATTTGTACTATAATATGTGAATTTTAATTCTCCATTTCAATGGTGTAATTATAACGATTTTACTTGTATTTATGATATTAACATATACAAAGTCTCTTATAACTCTGTAGAGAGTGACAATGTGTCTTCTTTTTAATTATGCTTTTTATATATGATATGTTGTATATACTGTATCACATTGATGAGACTATAATAAAGAATAAAATAAAATATATTACTTTTTAAATACCAATAAAATATCAATAATTGCCTGAAATTAATAACAATAGAATGACTAAATCCCAGACTTCTTTTGATTGTACATAATTTATACATATTTAAGGCAATGAATGTTTAATATCTATCGTTTTGATACTTAATATTGATAAGATCGCGTGTGCTCCAATTTTAAATTTTGTCTTTTGAGCGCAATTCAAGGTGTCCACTTTTCATTATTTTGTTTTAAATCTTAAACTATTTATATAGAAAATTGATTTTAAACCGGTCAATATTACTTTTTGAATGAACATAGACAAGATACCTCTTCAAATGCATTGCTTTTCTGTGTCAAGTCCTCTTTCACTTTATCTTGGAATGGTTTGTAATTTAGTATTACGCTTATGATTCCATTGAAATCAGTTTCCATAAATGAATTTTTATCCTTATACCCTTCCCTGGGCATAAAACACTTGGCAATTTGCCAAGAATCGTTACACCATTTTCTAGCATCTGTATTTCTCCAAGAAGGTTTATTGTGCTTGTGTGCCAGCCTAATCTCATCTCTAAACTTTTCGCATAATCCACTTTGAGGACATTCATGAGATTCTGAACATTCTTTCCTCACAAGCTGCCCTGTTGAACACTCGATGCAACTACTATCTTTAGGTAGATTCAGTCTCGCTAAAATGTCTTGAAATGTTCTTTGCTTGAATTTTTCTATTTCCTCTAAAACAATATCACGAAGTCCCTCTTTTGTGTATAGTAATGCTAAACCAGTTTTTATCCAATTATGGAATTTTGTATCATCCAGTTTAGATCTGTAATCAGACATTTTATGTAAAATTATTTATGTTTCAAATTATATCAGTAATGTCCATTTCGTTATTTCATCTAAATAAACTCAAAGTAATATTATGTAACATACAACTGTTATATGCTTTATTGTCAAAACTTTATATTGAAGTTTCCCTCTTGTCCTCTCTGTGTGAGCTTAAATAATCTAAGTCCAGCAGGGGTTTCACCTGTTAAATTATCTTACACTGCACACAATTAGTTTGCAATATGAATTAAACATTCACAGTTTATTGAGAAACTTGTATACGACAACTTTATAAAAAAAACTTTAAAATATCATTTTTGTTAAAACAATATTTATTTATAATCTATACATTTACATAGTAAGGTACATAAAATACAATTTACAGATTGAGTAGGAAGCTTGAAAAGCTTTTTTGGAATTCTCTCCTTAAATATCATAATAGGAAAAAATGTTTTGAATGTTTTTTCCTTACATTTTGTGACATATAGTTTCATTTACAAGTTTCTCAATAAACTGGGAATATCTAATTCATATTGCAAATTAATTGCATGCAGTAAAATAATAGTCCTTGCACCACAAACACGAATAGAGAACATAATTTTGTGTTGTCTTTTAAATATCAGCGTACCAACTCCTACTCCTGACAAGTTGTGTTGTTTCTGTAGTATAATAACATTAACATTTTGCTCAGTTTCAACAATATTGTTATCTTTATTTACATGTGTTTATCTTCTTGAAGTTAATTTCAAAATACAAAAAAAAAATAAAAAAAAATAAGCAATTTTTTTCTGAGTTTCATCCTCATTTTCTGGAATTGCATCCAACAAATATATTCATTCATACAGTCAAGCAAAATATAGAGTACTTATCGTAATTAACAAATATTTGATGTTACAAACTCAATGCGATTAATTTGACCGATATTTAGCATTAGAAAATTGTGTTCACGTTCCTTGTGGACTCATACTTTTTACGTAAAGTATGGGTTCAAAATGCATTTTATGCATGGACTTGTTATCAAAACTAAAGCTAACCCATTGAGCTGACAAGCCCGGGAAAGGTCATTACAAGCATGTCCTCTATTTAAAGTGGCTAATTCTCAAGGTTGTAACTTGCAAAATAAAAAAACTACTTTGACTATTAGTACTAAAAACCTTAACCATTACATCATGCTTAACGCTGTACATTGTGTAAATCTTTTAAAGATCAATGTTAGCAATGAAAAGTTCATCTTAAAAATTCACTTTTAAGGTTACTTTAAAAAAAACATAAAAGTAAAACAGCTGTTGTTCTTTGAAGCCCGGATAAGTAATATCACCCACCGAAATGCACATTAAGACGCCTTATGCATCTGTTCACGTCGATTTAGATACATGTACGATAATGAATGAAAATGTAAAAATTAGAATAAAATGCGATATCATTTTTACTTTGTGATCACGATTTCTGCAAGCGTCTGGAAGTAATGCTCTAACACTTTAGTGAGTTAATGCACTGGACTGCCCTATCTGTTAGCTAGAGAGCGTGTTGAATGAATTATAAGACGTGTTTGTTTATTGTTGTTCGATACATACCATTGATAAATCAATAGCATAATTGACAAACTTCCCGATGACGACCTTATAGCTATAAAATATATCTAAAAGCGCGTGCTTTTTAAATGTGTATATAAAGCTCCCATTTGTGATATACAACAAGGCTTTATACAGCTTCTCATTACATGTTCGTAAAGTTGCTCATTAAGGGCAATCGCATTCATATATTTCGGAGACCGTGCAACACTGTTACTAATAGTATGGAAGTGCCATATTGAAAGTAGCATGGACCCAACCCTTGTTTTAAACTCTTAACAAAGCATCATTTTCATGTCGCGTTTTGTTTAGGCCGGTGATATAGGGGAGGGGCGTAAAAGGAGGCTTGGATTTACCATTGCCGTCCATAAACAGATTAGGTTAGTTAGAATTAAGATATTACATTTGAAATATTTTGGTGCAGTATACCTTAAAACAAGGTCTTGGCTTTATCTTATCAAAACAGAACCATATCAAAACGAAACGAGACATTGTTTTTCAGTGACAACTCGAGCTGTCTCGAAATTATAGATAGATAGGGTTATCAGTTCATTTGCGCGTGGTCTAATATAAAATATGACCTTGCATGTTTTGTAACGTTTATTGTACGCCAGTTTCAATTTTGAAATTGAAGTCATTTTTGTTATTTCTTACGAATCAAACATCGAAATGAATTAACAAGAGGTTGTTCAAATGATAATAAGTCACGACCAGGAGACAAGTAGGCCCCAAAATAAATCAAATCGGCCCCTTAGTAAAGGCGCATGCTAGAGCATGTCTAAACATTTAATCAATAGAATTTATCTAAACTTTTCATAATCATGGAATATGACAACAGAAACAATCAAAGCGAAAAATGGGGATCGTCGAGTTTTCAAACTATCTGCCTTTAATTTGAATAATTTGCTTTTCTTCCGAAGGTCAATGATTCACAATCGAGGTTAGCAATGCGGCAAAGGCCTAGTTATTATATACCTGATATCTTTTGAGTGCGTATGTATTTTTTAATTATTTTTTTACCTAATTCTCTGCTTTTTAAAATGCTCTTTTTAAAAGGATTTTCAGTCTCTGTACTTTACTTTAACTGAAAAAGGGAATATAAAGACACATATATATATACATTTTGACTTTGAAATCGTTAACTTTGGACAAGTGTTCTTTCAAATTTATGTATATAAGTTGCAAATAAAGAAGATATAATTAATGTTTGATACATGTATATATATATATATATGATTGACTTATTATCTCGTTTCCGAGTAAAAACATTTTATAAATCTCATTAATTGTATGATACAGGTGTTGTCTTTTTATTTTATTTTTAAAGTTCTTCACTATAAAATGGAATTCAATGAAATTTTGTTTTGTGACCAAGGATAAAAATGAATGTTAAAAGGTTTTGCAGACTTGTGAAAAAGTTATCTAGCTTTGAAATGACCTGAAATACAGAATTCATCACGCTGGTAGCCTAGTTAAATTGAGCAACAGAGACAACGAATGAATTACACATGTTTTAACTTGAAAATTGAAATCATGTGTGCTTGCATATTAGACACATGTACAGCCATTTAGTAACAGAACATGACTGAGCATATTATCAAGTCTATCTTTGGTTTCATTGTTTGAGAATAATGTTTGATTTGATGCGTTTAATGCGTCTTGGTGAACACTTCTTAGTCTGTTTAATCGCTTTGTTTGTTGTTTGAAGTGTTCGTTTTTCATATAAACGCATTAAAGATTACACTTACACGGTCATTATCCTTTCAAATAAACGGCCTAAAAAACTCCAGGAAGGTCCAAAAGCCTGAATTTGTTTTTTGGGTGTTATTTACCAAGGCCTACATCAAATTGAGCTCAAATACCGGAAAGAAATCAAGACCCATGCCAATAAACCTCAATAGAGTTCCTTTACAACATGTCTTTTTCTTGTTTAATAAGATATGTTAACGGAATAATAAAATAAAAATATTTTCAACATCTAAATGTCCAACATTAAAGTACTAATGCTCAGTGGCTCTTGTGATTTACCATACTTTGTTTTCAAGTACATGCATGTCCATTTAATTCTTTACTAAACCACCTCATATCAAATCTTATGTTTAAACATTTTAACATTCTACATTTAACATGTTTCACCACAGTTCTTAGAGCTTCTGTCTTCCAGCAAAAAAGAAGGCAAATATTTTCAATACCAGGATACTTGCTCAACCTGCACCTGAACTAGCAATTTGGTCTTTGGTCAACAACCTGGACTTTGGTCAACAATTTAGACTTTGGTTTAGTTAACAATCTGGACTTTGGTTTAGTTAACAATCTGGACTTTGGTTAACAATCTAGCTGTCGACTCGGAGATAATATTAGAAATTGTTCAAGTATATTGACTTTGTTATCTAGAATCAGACACGCTATCATTCTGAAGATAAAATTCAAGATTATTTTGAAAAGGCATTATAGTATATGTCAGTCTTTTCTGCTTCAATATTTAACAATTGCAAGCAATATGTGTACACTGTATTCTGGCGCCTCATATTTCCGTGGTACTTAATTGTTTAATACAGACAGCAAAAGTTAAAAGGATAAAATTCTGGAAAACACGTTGAATATTGTAGGATAGACATGTCAATTGCATCATTGTTTATTCCATTTAATGTTTGCATGTAAGCAATTATGTATACAACATTGTAATTAACACGCATCTGCTGCCTAGTGAGTAAATTTGTGTTCTCATATTTCCAAGGCAATTACATTTTAACAGTTTAAACAGAAAACCCAATGGTAAACTTTATTTTTTAGTACACCTATACCTAGACTTGTCTGAAAGGAATGATTTTCTCTTTGGCATTTATCAAATACCTCAATAGTTGTTTAACAAAGAAGCTTTTTTTAAAAGGTATGAAATCTAAAAGAAAAATGGTGAAATATTAAATTACTTTTCTCTCAATCTGAATAAAATATTTTTTAGTTCTGTATGTAACGTTTCGATAAAAATACAATAAAAAAGTAAAAGTAAAACTACTGGCAGGTTCATGAAGTCTAGGAGGCACATTAGACTGTTTAAGCCTGATACCTTGGAAATATGGATACCACGGAAATATGAGGCACCGGTATACATGTATATATATAGTTGACTTTCAAAGAAGTAAATTTGACTAAGTTGGGTTACATGTACTATCTTCCCAAGCATAATAAGATCCAGGAAAGTGTTTAATAATAAGGCTACCTCTTTAAAAAAAGAAAAATAGATCTATTTCCAAATAAATATGGTAGTAAATTGCGAATATCATCGCTAAACGAAATATTTATAAATTCCTACAGCAAAATAATAGTTTGTTTATATACAATATTCATGTGTGTTAGAGAATAAAGAGACATTCTGCACTTATGAATAATTCAAAATTTATTATTATCATCATATAGCGTATATTACATATAAAAGTCTCTATAATAATAATAATAATAATTTATTATTATCATTATTCTTATTCTTATTATTATTATTATTACTACTACAACGACTATGCAGAGACATAATTATTTATTTTAACCTCTCTGGACTATGATGTCATTGTTTCTACGTTTTATCAGATGAAAGAAAGTGAATAAAATAATTACTCGTAGACCACCGTGGAAACATTGACGGGAAAGAAACGGAATTTATCCTGTCTACAAATTAGTTACGTCCCTTTTCATATTACCCGCCATATGTCACAAAAATTTTGTTACTTTCCGAAACCATGTTCAAGTGCAGTATTTCAGTTATTTAGGTACAAAGGCAGCGTTTTTCTCACTTTCAGTTTAAGAGGCTTTCGTCTCTTGATTTTAAGGAAAAAGCCCGCTGATATAATTTGCTTCTTTGTAAAATAAACACAAGGAATATTAGTCCTATAAATATGACGTCGCTTTGAGATATTTTTGCTTCTGGGCAAAGCAACGTCATATCGAAATTGCTCAAAAACCCATAGCATGTTCCGCCAGAAAATCGGGCGGAACGAAAAACAATGAAGACAGCGTGTATTTACATAATTTTTGACCTATTTATGAACAAAACTAAAAAATAAATACCTTTTGTCAAAATAATTAAACTGTCACATCCAAAAAATCATGATTAAATCCTCTAATGTATTTCAATTCCTTTTACAGCCGATAAACAAATGGCGGCCGTAAAGTGCGCGAAATCTGATTGGCTAATTCAAATGCAAGCGTTTAACTGAGTCAGAACAATCTAACGGAATATTTTTTTAACGAAATAATTGCCCATGCACCGTCAGTGTGTTCGAATATATTTTTCCGTTCAAAAATTTGGAATCAATCTGTAAAGCACCTTGTTTAACCAGTATGGCTGATAGACAAAAATAGATTGATGTTTATATTTTATTTTAAATTGATAAGTACATCGTTTGAAAGTTTTTGTGTATGATTGAGCATGAAATTGAAAGAAAATATGATAAGCTTTTGAATAAAGCTTGAAAGGCAAGACAATAGACATTTTTGGATTTTTTATGATGCTATGCGTTTTTGAGCAATAACTATTAGACGTCAGGCTTGACCGACAAAAACTATAACAAGCCTGTAACGTCTAATATATTGGACTAAAGGAATATGTACTGTACTGAGTAAATTACTGTCAGTTTGTCACTGTTTGTTACATTTAAATTTTAACAGCATTGTGTCGTAGAAATTTGTAGTCGTGCATTTAAGATTGTAATATGTGCTTATAAGTGAAATATAAAAGCACTTTAATGAATCATAGTTTTGATTTCTTTGCCTTATTTCAAGTTATTTGATGTATACAACAGTGAACACAGATGTTGGTGGTATCAATATCTTGATATACATTGATTCTCCACTAAACGTGCAAATTAGAAAATATTCTGTCCCTCGAGTATATCTTGTTGCACTGCAGTTGAAAAATACTTTTTGCGCATTCCATTGCTTCATTACATAGTCATGTATGTAAAGCATTCAAATTAATGACTTAGCTAGTCTGTTGGTTTTATACGAAAATATTATCATGCAAAGATACTGTATCACCCTTTATGTAATGTCCACAGGCTTGGGTCCCATATTACTGTTGGTTTTACACAATTTCACCTGAAACATGTGTTGAAGAAAAACTGCTTTAGTATTAAGTTTTAGTTTAAATGTCTAAGTGAGCGATTTTTATTGTTTTCTACAGTGAATTTGAAAAAAAGTTACCAGCTGAAATGCATGTCCCTCATATATTGAACAGATACGTTACCACACTTCAGGTAAACCTGAGTAAGAGTAATATGAACTTGTAACATATTAATAGTTTGCTATTGAACTCAAGTTTTATCATATTTCATTATTCAAAAATAATTTTGACGACAATATACATGCTAGAACCACAATGCCTTTGCAATGATGAGGCAATTTGGATTATACTTTAAAGTGAAACAGATACGTTACCATGATATCCCACTGAGAAACATTTACTATTACCAGTACTTAAAAGTAGGATCGCATTTATGCATTATTCAAATATATGCTTTACAAAACTTAATATTTCAATATATTTGGCAAACATGTGTGTATATCCGATATATTTTAGTTTTTTGACCAACAGATACGTTACCAACAGATACGTTACCAATATTTATTGTTTGAATCTTAATTGACGATTTTGCTCAATTTTGAAATGGTTTCATGTAAAAAATCACAGCATACCGTACGTGTAGCCAATAAATGATGCTTTGATCTCGATTTTATTGATAACTAAAAATGTGAATCAGGAATTTGAAATTCAAGGATTAGTTGAGTTTACTAGAAGATAAAATGTTGAAAAACAGGAAAGAAACATATAAAGATTTACTGTTTTATTTTCTGGAATAAATATATGTTGATATCTTTTTGGTTTGCAAAATTTGTATTAAAAATAAAATGTAGAGGACTGTATAACTTCTGGTAACGTATCTGTTTATCATAGTAACGTATCTGTTTAGAATGAGATTTGAGTACTGTTTAATATATATAACTAAATCTTCAACAAAACTTTGGTTTAAATAAGTAATATATGGTAAGGTAATATATAACAGCCCTGTAACTTTATGAAAAAGACATATTAAAGTATTTTTAAATAAATGCCCGTTAGTTTCTATATTTTAGTCAAGATTTTCTGTCTATGGTAGGGATGGACTAATTGGATATAACTCAAAATCTTGGAGGTGCACATATATATGGATTAATTATAATACTAAGTTGGTTTTCTTTAAACGGTACCATTGTTTCTGATATAATTTTGTTAAATGTAGATAAGCATATACATATCACGAAGTATGACAAAATCAAGGATCAAGATTGTACCAGTATATAAAGAAAAAGTATATAGAAAAAATAAAGACAATTGAACAACAGATGAACCAAAAAGACAACAGAATGTCAATTCACACTAGTCTATGTCAGAAACACTCGTAAATCTAGCTAATAAATATTCAGTTAATATTCTAATAGATGAGTGTCTTTATTCAAATGTTCTTGTTAAGTTCAATCTGTCTCTTAAAGTCACAATGTTATTTGACTATTTGAAGCTACACATAAAACAATAAAACCTAAAAAAAACTTAAGATGATATTGTGTATTCTGTTTGATATTAAAAGTACTGGTTCAGACAAATTATTTATTGGTCAGTTGTTTAAAAAACTTTATGGATATCTATCTATGTGTTCAGGGTTTTTCATTATTTTGTTCATAGAAGAACTGTGAAACAGATACGTTACTATGATTTAATATTTGTTTCCACTTAGCGGAGTAAATTTATACTGTTAAGTAAATCCGAACTACATTGTGTCAATAGATAAGTATGGAACATCAGTATTTTTATTGACCTAAAATGCTTTTATAAGTAACTCATGTATTTGGAATAAACAAGTCTGATTAATAAGTAACATTTTCATCAGCTTAAGTTCACAAGCTATTCTTAGACGTAGATTTTTTTTAAAATGCATATTAATGCATAATATTTTGTAATATATACTGGTGCTATAATGCTGAAAGAATGATAATAAATTTCTAAATCGTGTATATTCATGCTAATTATTTCTATCTAGTCTCTGAAAGCAATTGGAAAAATGGTAACGTATCTGTTTTTGTACAAATCTCGAATCCTTGGTAACTTAATTTCAGGAAATATTATAAGTTTTTTGGTGAAATGTTAAAAGAACCAGTATGTGTTCAATGTTATACATGAGTTGTACCAACTAAAAAAGGTGTCTGTGGAACTATTCGCAAATGTCAATTATTCACTATTACTTACAGCCTAATTTGAATGTTTAGTGGAGAATCAATGATAGTCCTTCATTGAAAGACATCGCATTTGTCTTTTTTTTTTTACAGTTTAACGTTTATCGTAAAATGCGAAGGCGGATTTGACCAATGTAAAAAATAGCTTCAAATCCGCGGTTACGTCTAAATATTTGGACCATATCTAAATTCTTAATACTGCTCGAGGAAGTACACAAGCTTGCTAGTCATAATCAGAATTGATTGTTAAGCAGTATGATGTAGATGTAGATGTTATCTTCACAGTTCTCATTCAGATAAAGCTCCTGAATGCCTCTGAATATAAGATTTTTTTCTATCCCTTTTAGCCTCTTGATCTATACTCTTGTATAATATTTGCAGATTTTTTAAGTAATATTTAGTGTGTCCAAATTGTCAAGTTTTGTTTCAACAGCCTGAAGTTGTTGTGTCAACCCACAGACACTTACTTGGAGAACCCACAGACACTTGGAGTGTAGACCCTGCCTCCCCCCACCCCCCTGAATATTAAAACTAACCATTATTTTGAATAAGGAGTCTTGAGTTTTTTGCTTATCCCTTTACTTAAAAAAAACAACACACAAATTGCCAAGTTTTTATCTATACCTTCTTAATACCGTGATATGATGTGTTGGATGCTTACTTCATAATACGGGCATTTTGTGGGGTTAGTCATTTTCCTGTAATCGTCTCATTTATAATTAAAGAAATGTCAAGTTTGACAGTTTAATGTACAGATGTAGATGTAGATAATCCATAAATAACATATTTCTCAGTCTCTTGATTAAAACCATTTAGAAAGGCAATTATCATAAATAATAATTTGTTTGGTCATTACATGTTTAAATAAGATGGTTACTATTTGTAGATTTTAAGAAAATTAGCATCAATTACATCTATCACAGGTATCAAGTAGACCAGATATCTCTGCTCTTTTGATTCTTTTTAAGAGGTGTAACTACAAATATACAGGTGATAACTTGACACCTAGATTTTCATAGAAAATATTTGAAAGACAATGTTTTAATATGAAAGATAAATAGCAAATCTGATGTTGTAATAAAACATAATTTAGATCATTAATATATAGAAAGTATACATGGACCACAGATTTGCATTGCAAAGAAAATGCAACTTAAATTTTGTTGGTCAAATTATCATATAGAACCTTTAGTTTCTTCAAGGTCACATCAATGATTTTTTGTCTGAAAACTGCTTGGGTCATCATGTTCTTTTCGAAAAACCTGTCTGGGTCATTAATGTATGACTTAAGAGGCTACTACTGATAAGATTAAGTATCCATAAATGGGTATGATAAGCCTATCTGCCCATGAAGTAAATGGGTATGACACGTTTAGATTCTAACATGTGAACAAGTTTGTACCCGAAAAAAGAAATAGATCCTGATTTTCTCTCTGTTCAGAAGACTAATTTTACATTAGCAACTGTGATATTCATGTGGTCATTAAATTGGCTGGATGAAATACTTTCAGAGGTGAAGAGACAAAATGCATGTATTTTATTCATAAGAGAATTTATGCCCGTATCTCAGCATGAAATAAAAGCAGTTCGTTAGAGAATTATGGCTGTATCTCAGCATAATATAAAAGCGGTTTGTTATAGAATTTTGCCCATATCTCTGCATCAAATAAAAGCAGTTCGTTAGAGAATTATGCCTGTATCTCAGCATGAAATAAAAGCAGTTCGTTAGAGAATTATGGCTGTATCTCAGCATAAAATAAAAGCGGTTCGTTAGAGAATTTTGCCCGTATCTCTGCATCAAATAAAGCAGTTCGTTAGAGATTTATGCCCGTATCTCTGCATGAAATAAAAGCAGTTCGTTAGAGGATTATGCCCGTATCGCTGCATGAAATAAAAGCAGTTCATTAGAGAATTATGCCCGTATCTCAGCATGAAATAATAGCCGTTCATTAGAGAATTATGCCCGTATCTCTGCATGAAATAAAAGTGCAAAACAGTGCCAAAACCCATTTCATTCCTCTCACATCAAAGAGAAGCATACATTGTTATCTTTATGAAATTTTCATTCTTAAGTGAGTTTTTTTTAACGTTGTTGAAATAGCGGAAAACAAGTTCAATGTTCAAGACATGTGACCAGGTTGTAATAATGTGCAAAAATATTTCGACATACTGTTTGCAAAATAAAATAAGCCATGGTGTATACAAGAAAGGGAGCCCATGGTTTCTATCATGGTCTCATGAATAAAAGCAGTTATTATGTTGTATGAAAGTTTAACTTGTTATGAACAATGTAATTTTACTATTAAGATAAAAAAAAATGACATTATATGGTGTTTGAAGTTATGCCAAACATTAATGTTAGATATAAATTTACTTTCAGTGTTTTTCCAGTATTTATTTAAAAGGGTTGCCTGTCTAGGGCCCTTTGAATTGTGATATTATTGCAGTATAGCCATTATTTTTTAATATATCATATTGTTGAAATCTTGCTACTTAATTGAGGAAAAGGTTTAAAAATGTGTTGGAAAATGCCTTGATTAATGATAAACACCTAATTATGTCCAAAAGTGGGAATAATTATGGTAAGTATCATGTTACCAGCCTCCATTTTTGGATCTGTCAATCAATTTTGTTGATATCTTGAAATTCAAAGTTAGCCAACATTATAGAGCCTGGTGAGTGGTCAGATTGTAAGCATATACAGGCTAGCCTGGCTCTTGGCTGGTTCTAAGAGTTAATGGTAAAAACCTACAAGGAAAGAGATTTCTTACACTGAAAAATGCCATTTCTGTCGAGTTCAGTTAACTTGGTTTACAAAATATAAAAATAATTATATAATGGTGTTTATGTCATCCTTCGTTTCCAATTGCTTGCTGTTTTTACAACTAGCCAAAAAAAATTGTGGAATTTTTCAAATGTGTTTTGTAGTATGACTGTATGATCATTCAAATAGCTTTCAAAATAGTTTTTAAAGCGAGATGCAAACATGTAGGTCAAAGAGCAATTATTGGCAAGTTCATTTTCTTTATAATTTGATTTGATATAGTTTGACGTTTTTGGGTGGAATTGTTAATATTTTTGAGATGTCAAAATTCTCCAGACTTTGTATTGGAACTATGCAATATTGTTTGACTACAAAATGTCTTCTTATTTATTTGAATAACATGTTTATCTAGGGCTTTGACATTTTATATCTTTCAGAATCCCTTTCCTAAAGACAATGGCCTCTCCACCTAGGCTTCCTCCATTATCACTCCCAGAAGTTCTCAGTCCACAAAATGACTCGAGTGTCTTGAGCTCTGCACAATCCACGCCCAATTCCCAGGAGAACTATGCTTCACCTGCCTATCTTAATCAAGTTCTCAACAGTCCAGAAGGAATCAATTGCTTTGGGAATGAGAGATTGTTGCTTCAAGAACAGGCAAGTTTCTGTAACAATGAGAAACTGAGCGATATCACTTTGGTTGTTGGCGGACGGAAGTTTTGTGCTCACAAAATAATTCTTGTACGGGCAAGTGATGTTTTTGAGAGAATGTTGACTGGTGATTGGACAGAGACTGATAAAAAGGTAATGATATTCAACAACACCATCAATATTTTAATGTTATTATGTAAATGTAAACTTTGAATAATTTGTTTAAAATAATGATTATGGCAAACACAGGATGAGGAAACGCTTGACAGGATATCTTCATGTTTGTGTAAATAATTGTAGAAATGTTTCCAGTACAGGAGTGACAGTGATTACTGAAGTTGAATTTAGAGCTGCTTCATAAAATAATTTTAGAGTGGAGATATTACAGAAGTTATAGTTATATAAAAGCTATAAATACCAACACTCCGCAGACAGATTCAGTGTTTCTAATTCTCATTAATATTGATTTTTGGAATTTTCAGAACAAACCTGTTGCTTTCTTAAGGGGGAAACAAATAATGCCAGCATTCAGAAAAAGAGGAACATCTGATATCAAACACCATCAAGTCACTAAAAATGCAACATTTGATAAAGTTTTAAATGTAATTGCAAATTTACATGCAGGGTGCAATTTACATAGCAGAGGTGATCTGTAGACATTTTTCTGTCCATTAAATTTCTTATCATTGTGATAAAAATAAGTCAGCTGCTGGCTCTATTGACTTATATGCCAATGTCTTATTTTTGGGGGAAATTATTGTTTTTTGATGGCTATTGGAAACCTCCTATATTCAGCAGTGGAAAAAGTGTAATTCAAAAGCTGTATGCATGTACATGTATTTCATATATAACAAATGGAATTGATTAGAAAGAATTAAAACACTTTGTGCATGTAGTATGATACATGTTTGATATTTGAGCCGTGTCATGACAAAACCAACATAATGGGTTTGCAACCAGCATGGATCCAGACCAGCCTGCGTATCTGATAGTGAACAGCATGGATCCTGATCAGACTGCGCAGATGTGCAGGCTGGTCTGGATCCATGCTGGTCGCAAACCCATTATGTTGGTTTTGTCATGACACAGCTCATTTTATATTTCTAGGAACTGGAACTGATAGAGGAACAGATGTGTATTGGTGTATTTCCACGATTTCTGAAGTTTTTGTACAGTTGCAACATCAAGTTAAACCTAGAGAACTCACTGCCTGTCTTAGTACTGGCCGACAAGTACAATGTATCTGATCTACAGAATGTTTGTATCAATTTTGCCTGTGCTCACATTATACCGAAACTTCAGCTGAAGGATGTATTTTATGTATGGTTCCAATATGCTACAAAATGTTACCATAGACGTCTTGTGCATTCATGTATTAAAGCAATGGCAGAAAAGATGGATGAAATTATGGGTAAATATAAGAATCTTGTATTCTATAGCTTAGCTGTAATGAAAGCAAATTCTTTACATTTTATGAGATAAGCAATTATCTGACCATCTGTTGTTTGCCTCATACCTGACACAACTTTAATGTGAATCTTGTGGCGGGGTGGCCGAGTGGTGAACACGTCAGACTAGTAATCTAAGGATTGCTGATAGCGTAGGTTCAGACCCTGTCAGGGGCAAGCCGTTGTTTCCTTGAACAAGAAACTTTACATTCATTGCTTAGTACTGGTTGGTTCCAGGAACGGATTCAAGAGTGTTTCAGTAAGCTTATAGCTTCCAACACAAAATAAAAAAGATAAAATAAATTTGTATAAACTAATGTGAATCTAAATCTCATTTCTTTATGTTTCAAAATGTATTTGAAACTTTGATTTCATTTAGTATTTCAGGGAAATCAACTTTGTCATATTTCTCATATTTTAAATTTTTGAGAGGGGGAGGGGTGGCAGGGGAATCACCCCCCTCTTAAATTTTGTATACCAGAACAAACACTAACTTGTATGCTTATAGAAAATAACATTTCACATATGCATTGCCTTATTTGGTGATATTTTCTGTCTACAAGATTTGTTGTTCTTTACTTTGTTCTGATTTGTAAAGAAATTTGTAGAAGTAGTTTATGATTATAATTGAAAAAAAAGCTGAAAAAATGTCTACTATCAAGTGATTAAATTACGTATGAAAACGGACGTAAAAAGTTTTACAACATTGATAATTTTTTTTTTATTTTTACAATATCAGGATATTGTTTTACAAATATAAACACATATAAACAATAAATGATCCATTTTAAGAGGCATCAAATGTTATATCACTTACTTTGTTTTATTTCATCATGTGTGTCAGAATTGTCTCCCTTTGTTGACTTTTCACATAAAAGTATTGTGTAAATGTTAAATTACAGGATCTATTGAGTGGGAGAGAGAATGGGTGAGTCTGGAGAAGGACCAACTGATTGAGTTTTTAGACAGTTCTGATCTCAAGGTCAAGGACGAGTTTGAACTGTGGAATGCTGTGCTGAAATGGTTAACAGCTACATCTCCAACAAAGAGAGTTCATCTTCTAGAAGAAAATCTGAAAGATATCTTGCCGTTTATAAGGTTCCCAATGATGACTGCAGAACAGATTCATGAGGTTGAAAACAGTGAGGTGGCAAAGCAGTACCCAAATCATTTACATAAGTATTTCATGCTTGCATACAAATACCATGCTCTCCCACTCTCAATGAGAGGTTGTTTAAAAGAATTTAATGGTCAGAGTTTCCTTTTACGTAACTATTGCGACCTAAGGTGGGACTGTAGATTTGTGGTCTCAAATTATTCCACCTGTCTCAAAGGGGAAGAAAAGGGAATTCGATTTACTACAAGGTCATCTTCCTACCCCTCTAATACATGGGACTGGGAGCTGAAAATCTACCCTAAAGGGATCTCAACTACTTCTGAAGACTTCAGAGTTGTACTGTATTCCAATCTTATCTTAGATCAACCCCGCCCAATGGAGTACTTACTGTCTCTTGTCAGTCGGGATGAAATTCTCTATTCTGTAAGCGGGAAGAAAAATTTCTCAAAAACTCGCTACATGATTGATACAGAGTTAGACAAGAAAGTTTCTCTAGCAGAGCTTTGTCAGCCTAACTCACCACTCCTTGTTGACAACTGTCTTATTCTGCAAATAGCTCTCAAACCTGCTGAATAGAATGTTGTCATGGTAACAAGTCAGTGAACTCCATGCTCTAACTTTATGTAGCATTTAGATTGATGGACAAAATTAATATAACAGATTTCTCTGTTATGTGGGAATACTTTTTCTTATTGTTCATTCATCTGCCAGTACCTGTTAATAAGTAGTTTTTTCATTGCATAGTCAAATTTGTTTATAATATTTATATTATACTTAAAGGACATTTCATATTTTGCATTTTGTACTGAGACTGCCTCATGACAGGTATTGATGTTATAACTGGACCACTTCAAAACAATCATATTTTAAATGGACCACTTCAAGACATTCATATTGTACTGGGACCACCTGGTATTACAGATATTAAATTGGGACCACTTCAGGACATTCATGTTGTACTGGGACCACCTCTTGATGTCACAATACAGTTTTTTCTGTGACTGTAATTTATTTTGTGAGTTTTTTTATTGGCAAATTACTTAAACATTTTGGGCAACTTTTGAAAATACTGAAGTGACATTTGTTCTTTCTTACATATAAGTTTTATCTAGGAAGTAGAGCTTAATTTTGAGTGCTTTGTGGTATAATATTTCACAGTATGTAGTTCAGATATTCAGAAATATAATCATGAAGGCCATAAGCCTGAATGATGAATTTTAAACATCTGACTAACATACCTTATACAACAATGCTGCTCTCAAAATTGATTTACACAAAAGTTATAATATGTAAGTGCCAATGAAAGAGATAAATAATTTTGTTGAGTTATAAGAAATTTCAGTTTGGTGAAAAAATTGGATGAATTTATTTACCATTGCGCAAATTTTTTGAGAACAACAAAATTTACATTCTATAATCGAATTTTTGCTTATGTAAATGAAATAAGATAAGTCCTGATATCTGGGAACTTGGAACAATCAAAGCATGCACATCATAATATAATTGCATATTGTACTGACAGGGAATAAGAATGACTGGTATATTGTGAAAAAAATAATGCATTCTTATAAAAATCTCCAATACTGAATAGTGAATAAAAATCTCCAATACTGAATAGTGATCACTTACTCATAGTTCATGCAGTCTTACATACGAAAACACATTTAAGTCCTCTTGTGCACAGAGCTCTGATGTTTGGCAGTTGTATTTCCTAGCATACACCTACAAATATTTTGAAAATTTGATTGCTTGGATAAAAATGACATCTTATTGTGACCTTATTATTGACTTTTGCATGGAAGAATTATGAACTTTTTATGCCCCCGCCATGTAATGGCCGGGGCATATAGTGTTACCCTGTTCCGTCATTCCGTCCTTCCGTCCTTCCGTCCTTCCGTCCTTCCATCCTTCCGTCCTTCCGTCCTTCCGTCATTCTGTCATTCCGTCATCATCAGTTTCCGTTCATTATCTTAAGAACGGTTGGGCACATTCAACTCAAATTTGACATATGGATATGTCATGAGAAAATACAGGTCAAGTTCGAATTTGGTCATGGTTCGATGATTTTTGGCAGAGTTATGCCCCTTTTACTTTGAAAATAATATGAAATTTCAGTTTCCGTTCATTATCTCAAGAACGGTTGGACACATTCAACTCAAACTTGACATATGGATATGTTATGAGAAAATACAGGTCAAGTTCGAATTTGGTTATGGTTCGATGATTTTTGGCAGAGTTATGCCCCTTTTACTTTGAAAATAATATGAAATTTTCAGTTTCCGTTCATTATCTCCCAACGGTACAACACAATCAACTCAAACTTGACATATTGATGCGTCAAAGGAATGCGCAGGTCAAGTTCAAATTTGGTCGTGGTTCGATGATTTTTGGCAGAGTTATGCCCCTTTTACTTTGAAAATAATATGAAATTTTCAGTTTCCGTTCATTATCTCCCTCAAGGTACAACACATTCAACTCAAACGTGACATATGGATGCGTCAATGGAATGCGCAGGTCAAGTTCAGATTTGGTCATGGTTCAATGATTTTTGGCAGAGTTATGCCCCTTTCACTTTGAAAGTAATATGAAATTTTCAGTTTCCGTTTATTATCTCCCCAATGGTACAACACATTCATCTCAAATTTGACATATGGATATGTTTCTGGAATGCCCAGGCCAAGTTCGAGTTTGGTCATGGTTCAATGATTTTTGGCAGAGTAATGCCCCTTTCACTTTGAAAATAATATGAAATTTACAGTTTCTGTTCATTATCTACCTAACAGTGTTACATTTTAAATTTTAATTTGACATATGGATATGTCAAAGGAATGGGCAGGTCAAGTTGGAATTTGGTCAGGGTTTGATGTTTTTTTGGCAGAGTTATGTCCCTTTCACTTTGAAGATAATATAGATACATCTTAAGAATAAGCAGTTTAAGTTTGAATTTGGTCGTGGTTCAATGATTTTGGACAAACTTATCTTTCCTGAATGTTGGAAAAATTTTGAACTTTCAGTTTCAGCACTCATTCTTTTAGCCATTATTTTGGCTACAAATATGCAATATGCTTTTTCTAAAGGTTAAGACTGAATAATTTCAGTGCCTTGAACGTTGTATGGAAATGGTTTGTGTTAACATTGAAAAGTTTTAAGGGCTTTGAACTTAAAATGAAAAAAAAAAATTAATGCACCATCTGAAATTTTGGCTGTATGCGGGGGCATCCGTGGCATGATGACACATTTCTAGTCTAGTAAAGTATCTCAGATTAGCATTCAGGGCAATCATTGCCCTCTTGTGAAATATTCTACTTACATGCTTTATAGATTCATAAGAGCTCTAAACAACTATAAAGAAAAATCCAAATTAGTGAATTCCATTTTAGATACATGTATATTTTAATTCTCTTACATTATTTCATTGTTGTTAGATACATATCCATTTTTATGTCAATGGATTGGTGGGCATAATGTTTCCATCATCAATAACATTCGACCTGTCTGGACAACAGATGACTTTGTCCAAAACATTATTCATTCAAAGAGCAAGAGATTTTGTACAACATATCATTGTACAACATATTCAAAAATGACCTTTACTGCTAATGTCCTTGTCTTACAAGGTCAATTTTTTTCTTTTAGTTTTTATTTGTTTGGGTCGTCAGACCAAACAAATAATGGTAGCGAAATTTCAGAGCCTAATGCTGTTAATTGCAAATGCCTAAAGTAGTCCACATTTTTGAAGCGGTTACTTCCCTTTATATGTACACTAACGCCGAAAAATTCAGGGGAGATCAAATATCAATTAGGCGCATTAATTTTCAAGCAAAGTAGTTCCCGAATGGTCGAAGATTTCTAATATTGTTTCATTCTTTATAGATATACATGTTTACAGTAAGCTCCATGATTATTTACATCTGTGTTCAGCGTCGAAATAATAAAAGTAACAAACCCTAATTTAGAATAATATGGTTTTTTACAGGCCGTTAACATATAACTTCACCATGGCCGAGGGGTTTGCACACTCATTATGAATCGAGAGGTCTCGAGTTCAAATCCCAGTTGAGGCAACTCATTTTTTTTATATATTTTTTTTAAGTCAAATAAACATTGAATTGACTATCAGTGTTGCAATTAGTCTGATAGCCAATTTACTACAGTTAAAACACTGGAAAGCATTGGTGGCACTATACAAAAACAAATGGGTTTACAATCTCACAACTTTCACCTTTCTGACATTCTGAGACCCAAACAAATTCAGCGCCTTCTGTGCTTTGATTTTATAACTGGATTATTCACAAATATAGATCTTGCTTCATACTTAAAATTAACATGCCTTTGAACCAGAGCTTCCGAATCAGTTGTACTCATTGAAGTGTGATTTTGGCCACATTATGAGCTATGAGCTTGGCTATAACATTTTAGAATGTTTGACAATAACTTTATCCAGGTTCTTGTTTTACTATCAGGCACTGAGAATAGTGCAGCATCCTGTCCTTCCGACAGCTCTTATTTTAAATTGACAAATAGGATACTTGAGTTTTACAAAAATGTTTTGGGGTTTTCTCATAGACTAGGATAGGCATAGCCGTTTTTCAGTTCTCATCTAGTCATAATATTCTTGTTGAATCTCTACTGTGTTTTTGGGTTGTTGTTTTTTTTTACTACAAATATTGTCATGCAATATATGAGCCGCGTCATGACAAAACCAACATAATGCGTTTGCGACCAGCATGGATCCAGACCAGCCTGCGCATCCGCGCAGTCTGGATCCATGCTGGTTGCAAACCCATTATGTTGGTTTTGTCATGACCCAGCTCATATGATAAATGATACTGAATATAAATCCTCATCATTAAGGCTAATATTGTTGTTTTTGTTGGTTTTACAATAAAGATTGGCTTGTTTGTTTGAATAAAGAAGCTAAGTCTACAGCAATTATTCACAAATTTCATCAATTTTTGGACTTAAAATGGTATTTTTTAGTGTTTGTTACCTGATGGTATATTTCAATCAGGAAGAATGGGAATATGGTATGTTTAAGGAAGGATTTGTTTCTGAACTTGATATTTTTGGTGTAATTTAAGTGGTCAGACATATTTACAGTTTGTATTTGTGTTCTAAGACTTAACTTCTGATAAAAGATAAACTGAGGTGCTTTTGAGTTGGTTTGTTTTGTTTTTGTGTGTTTTGATTTTTTTTATTTTATCAAGAAACCAAGAAATACTGTGTAACATTTTTCTGTTTTTTTGTTTTTGTTTTTTTTACAATGTGCTAATTGTTGCCCAAACTCGCCCAAGTAAATATTTGCATTTTAAGGATTTATGATTTCATCATATTTGACTTTCATTTTTGTGTCTTTTTTTACTTACTTTTGATGTACCCATCAATTGTGGTATTACAAAAGTATTGATGATATTTCACAAGTTGATTTGAATGCAATTTTTTTTTTTTTTTGGAAAAAAAACACACTTCCAAACAGCCTTTATGAAAGAAATATTTTTTCATTTCCTTCAGAGCAAATGGCGCATGCAGAAAATCATTGCTTATGTGTTTGAACCTTGCTTGAAATAGTAGGAGATATTATAATATTACAACTATTTTGAGAATTGGCCAGAAGATTATGGAGACAATATATATACATTTACTGTTTATAAATTTTCTAAAAAAATATTTCACTTGATATAGCTGTATACCCATTAAGTATTTGCAGTCTTGGTTTTAATTTTTATGTAATATGTCTCAAATGTTTTACTTTTCTGTCTCACATTACAACTATGTAACTATGTTTTTGTTGTAAAATTTAGTATTTGAAATATTATAAGATGTGCTTTGAAGTATGAATATATCCAGACTTACTTAGTATATTTAGCTTATCTATCATTATGTATATAATAGGGAAAGCTATCCTATTCATCATTCTGCACATTTGTGTCTGAATCACTTTTTTGGTTAAGTTTTTGTACCATCCAGCTAATTTCCTATACCCTTCAAGGTATTGCTTTGAAACTTTGTTTCCTTGTTAGTGACCATCATCTCCAAGGAGTCATAATAGTCTAGAGCACTTACAGACTGTGAGACAGATCTTGTTTGAATTATCATTGTCTTTTCTTGGATCATGTTACAGATGCATTCATTGTCATTTTAAAGTGACATTATGCCCATTTAAGTGTAAATGATGAAAGTACAGGTAAAAAGTGGGAATAAGTTTACATTTTTGCAATATTTGATTTCAAATTTAAGATTTTACTTTCAATGAATATCTAAGAGTCCTTGTGGCAAGGGGAAATTTCTGTGAATAATACTTCAAGTGTACTGGTTAGCCTTAGTTACTAAAAAGACTGGTAGCAATTTTTTATATTTTGGGCAGTTTTTAGCTCACCTGTCACAAAGGGACAAGGTGAGTTTTGTGATCACAATTCGTCCTGCGTCGGCCGTCCCTCTGTAACCTTTTAATTTAAACAACATCTTAAAAACTTCTAAGTCAATATCATCTAAAGTTTACAGGAATGTTCCTTTGGTGGACACCTTTAAAAATTGGTCAAAGAATATAATTCCAAGCAGAAATCTGGTTGCTATGGCAACCAAAAGAGAAAAAAAACTTAATAAATCTTCTTTTAAAAAAACCCAAAGAGCTAGAGCTTAGGTATTTGGCATGAAGCATCTTCTAGTGAGTGTCTTCCAAGTTTGTTCAAATAAAAGCCCTGGGATGAAAATTGGCCCCACCCCGGGTGTGGGGTCATGGATTTTCCTTATATGTATATGGTAAAAACTTTAAAAAATCTTCTTTTAAAAAACACATAGAGCTAGAGCTTA